CTCTTTTAAATTGAATATTTAATATAAATAATCATATTGTAGTAAGGAAGCATTTTCTACTACAAGAGGAAAGATGATATTTATGAAATCATTCTTATCTACTTATTGGTAAAGTTTATTTACACAAATGTGGAAATTTTTTTTTTTAATAAAAAAGGAGAAAAGGTAAACATCGCTATGGTTCGGATCAACAAATGCAAGCTAAACTTTTCGAATATCATTAGTATGAATAAGTGAAATAAGATATAACTTACTCGTCTAACACTTGATGCTGTATAATCAACGAGTAAGTAGTCAGGTAATGTTACATTTTCCTTCAAAATCGTTATAGGTGGAGCTGTTTCTGTCCATTCCATTGCTACCTATAATAATGTAAATGAATTATACTCCTCTTACTAAACTACATAAAATATTCTACTTCATTTTTACTCTTCTTACTAAACTAAAATATTCGATTTAAATTTCATTCTTTATTTCATTTCAAACTCTTTAAGTTAATTAATACTAATAACGGATTCATCTCTCTCATCCAATACAGGAAAAATACATTTGTTATTCCTGATATGTCAAAGAAGTTACTTATCAAAATTGCTGTCAGTATTCCAGTTACTATCAGTAATGATCGATTGTTTTTTAAAAGACACAATGAGGAACCTGATCATAATTATGATTGAATGATTCGTAAAATAACATGCAACGTTGCTTATCGATTGGGAAAGTTCGTAAAGCATTGAAACAAGGACCTGTTAATTTAATCCTGAAATATTTTAAATAGTAGAGCTCTAAAATGTCACCATTAAAAGTTTGCATGAAAAGTAATTAAAAAGTTTCTTGGCTTTATTGTGAATATCTGATAACTTTGCAAGAAAAGTAATTCGGATGAATATTTGCTTAGAATTAACTTTTTGAGGCATATCGTTGTGGTGATTTTTTGATAAGGCATATTATTATGATAAGAAAAGTACGATTTTTTTTTTTTTTTTTGAAAATAAACCTGTAATTATGCCATACATTACCATCACTATAAATTTGTAAAAAAATATTGCTGAAAGGACTACGATGAATTGAAGCATCTTTACTATTAACAAAACATGCATGAGGATTCCATATTTGTGGCAATATTTTACCGCCATCTACCGATATATTTCTGAAATTATAGATAATTTTAGCAATAAACAGGAATAAAATTTACAATATATTCCGCTCTACAAAAATTTTAGTCAATCAAAATATAATCGTTTTATTGGAGTATTATTTATAAATTACTTTTTACAAGGATTCATGTGATTATAAGCCAACGATGGATCAATCCATTTCTCCGTCACATAAATATCTAACTCAAATTCACTTGTTATTTCGATTATTTTTGAAATCTCTTGAACCCAAATCTGAAAACATAAAAAGGTTCCAATAGCTGACTCAAAAATAAATTAAATATTTAGACTTTCCATTTTTCAAATATCCTACATCTTTGTCACCCAACGCTGTCATTATTAATATAACCATCGCGAACAATACCTCAACGGAAACTTGTACATTACTACCACCAGGTATTTTATGTTTATCATAATCGCGTAATAGTTCGCTAATGATCATTGCATCATTGGCGCATGTTCTATCCTTCTTAATTGGCCAACTTTCAACAATATGGCTTCTTTTAACTTCGTTCTCATCCTTGGACGATGATTTATCAAACAATAAGGACCTTTAAAATGCAAATAAAAAAAAGCAAAAAAAGAGAGCTAACTTTTAAATAATTAATTACCTTACAGTGCTGGATATATATTAAACGTATTTTTAAATACATTACAGAATTATATCGCACTATCAAATGAACAATATTGTAAAATTATATCGTTAAAGTATTACTGAATATATTTCGAAAGCGAATCTCGGGAAATATTCGAGAAATGCTGCATTCAAAAATCAAATTTATAATATATGTGGAATCTATATCAGTATAGAATTTCTAGACTTGACAAATATCTCATAATTTTACAACATTGGTTATTAAGCTTAGTAAGCTACATTGATTAAATGGAATAATTTGATAGTTGACCTTTCCGTTAACTTTTTTTGAGGATTGTTTTCTGCACACAAATGATGCAGCACCATTACGGAAAATTCTGCTTCACGTAACCTGACGTCCAACTTTACGGTTTTAAGGAAAAAAAAAGCAGACAAAGAAAAAGTTCTTTTTTTACGTATTGTTGTTCAGTGGAATTCCGTACTTGCTGTACTGCGCATGAATTTTCTGTCCATTGAGAATTATGCAAATGCATAATAATGCTAACAGTGTTATGCATTTTGAACCGAACAAGCAACTAATTTTCGTTCTGGTCGGCATAGATATAACAGAATTATCTGAAATATAACTATAACAAATCTTAGCAAATATTCGAAATTAAGAAAAAATCAATTCATATTGGAATTATATTCAATTAATCCTGAAAATAATATAACAAATTATTTAGCAAGTTAAACAAAAATCTTCTATGACGACATGCTAATGTCACATTTTAAGCAAGAATGGAAGAATTAAGCATTGAATATAATATCGTATCAATATAAATAGCGTTCTACTATAATGAATATGCAAGGTTTAGCATAATGCACTAATTGAAATCATTTCCATAGAGATTTGAAAAATTCATTAACATTTTAGTAATAAGAGGAATAATGCAATGTTACCTGCATTAGCATCAGAAAGCATTCATCTGGAAATGAGTTACATCGATAAGTTCAAACTTAATCATTTCTGGAAAATTGATATAAATCAAAATTACTTCCTCCAATATCTGCATAAAAGCTACTCGATGATTTTTATTTAAATAAACTATTTGAGCTAATTGTGACCTTTTAAAAGAAAGCTATGATTCCTAAACGATTGTGACATAATATTTTACTTTACTGTTGTTATCCATCAGATAATTTAAAAGAGAGTAACTTGCTTTTTTCCTTTTTTTTTAGAAAATTACAAATATAAAATTCAAAATTTCTACTTTTCGGAATGGAAAATGTTAACAAATGTTGTGAAAAATTCATCAAAAAAAGAAAAGAAACATTTTGCTTCAAATTGAATGAATGGAAAATGAATTGAAGCGCAAACAAATTTAGCCCTTATTTTTTATGTCTTAAAAGCTTTCACACCGTATTTAGTAATAAAGCATCTACAATCCCATACCCTTATTTCATATAATGCAAGTTTTGAAAATCGATCCGTGAATCCATCCTCTCTTTTAGTCACTTTTTCAACAACAATACTAGTTCTCATCTCCCTTCTCATGCTTTTTTTTTTTCCTCCTCACTTCTCTCCATTATTTTTTTCCCAATAAACAAATTCAGCCTAGAAAGACAAATTATTTACATATTGTCAGTTTGATTACAATTTACAAAAAGCTTTTGAAGCTTTAAATCCTAAGACTTATTTCCTTTTTTCAAATTTTCTAGTTCATGATAGAGATTGACTACTATAGGTAATGGGTTTGATAAGGATTTTGCTCAGTAAAGATACATTTTAATCCATATCTTAATTAATTTTCTCATGTCATTGTTCTAATAAGTTTTAATGAGATAACTAAGCAAACCAGACTTTTTTAAATAAACTATTTCCTTCGACAAAAAGCATTAAATGATATATAAAGAAAAGAAAGCTCAAGTTTCTTATCAATAAGGAAGAGTTACAATTAGCCATTCAGATAATAGAATGTACATGACGTTAGTATTTCTTGTGAATAAAATTTTGGATAATATCTGGTCAGAATTTTTAGATCTATTCTTGAGAATTATTTAAATGTTGTCAAGTTTTTGCCAGTACATTTACTTCCAATTTAGCATTTGACAAAACAATAAGCATTGATGGGAACTTTATCCATATCTTCCAGTATAGTTGAATTTTGAATAGTTTGTAGAGAATTGTATAATTGCAGTATTACTTAAGCATAATTTTTTTTTTATTTATTCCGATACTTTCATGCATTCAAAACATCCTGTTATTTATCACTACATCTGGTAAAAAGAGAGGAACGAACTACGTCCCCTAAGTAAGTATTGTTTTACGTTGAAATGAAATTCATTGCATTAGAAATCTTAAGATCCATATAAAGAATTATCACCAGATATAAATTCCCGTCTTCTTCCTTAATAATCCAATAGAGTTGCACTATGACAAGACGGTAAAATGACATAATGTGACCATAAGTGATGATTTGTAACGACTTCCCACTCAGGAAGCCATCCCGCGTTATCCCGCACCTCAATAATTCTATCGGCACTGGGAGACGAAATTCAACTGGAACTCTGAAAATTTCTCAGTAGCATGCAACGAATGTGCCACTGTTTTGTTCTGGCTGTTGGATAGGGGGTCGAAATTCAGCACATCAGGAGTTGGTCTGGGGTTACTATTTTGTCGTAATGAAATCTCGAAGGAGATGTTTGTACAAGGGATTTTTCAGAAGTAGAGAGAAGTGGTAGTTAGTGAAGCAATAGGTTTCGTAATATTGTTCACCTTTCCAACAGGTAATAAGTCTAGAATTAGTGTTTATTGCAGTTGATATAGTCACTGAGAGCGAAGAAAGATGGTAACTGACGAGAAAAAACACTGGTTGATAAGAATCGGTAGAAATGATGATGATTTGTGATCTGCAGGATTAAGGGAACAGTAATCAAATAAGACTATGAACAATAAGGGGAAGAAGTATTGCTCTATTTTGTGACAAATTCAAACTACATACGATATTTTAACCTCTTCCAAATATCCATCTGTATTAATACATAGATTATCGGATGATGACACTTACCTTTTATGGAGCTCTTTGTACCATATTTTTGTCTCTTCATCCGAATGAACCTGGTTTCGTTTATAATTATGTATCAGTCTTGCATGTAATTCCTTCCGTTGAATACATAAAGATTCTGGAACAAACTTCGTGTTTAAATTCTTTTGGTACTCTTTACTAAACAGGACAGCAATTTCAGGTTTACGAACTGGAACAAGAGTGATGCAAGAAAATGCACGGTATGATCGGCAAATTCGTCTGTGGGGCGATGAGGGTCAGTCTTGTATTGAGCATGCTAGTGTTTGCGTACTGAGTGTATCTGCTTTGGGATGTGAAATTGTCAAAAGTTTGGTACTTGCTGGTATCAAATCAGTGTATATCATCGATTCTGCCGTCATACGCAAACCAGATTTAGGCAATAATTTTTTTGTTGATGGCGAAATTGGTCAGCCGAGAGCGAGAGTTGCACTGCGATTGCTTATGGTATGTATTGATATATGCTTGCATTATGAAAACTTTTGAATTTGTTGAAATATTCTTTATAATGATGCAAACTGAGTTGCTTTTGAATCCGAAAAACACCGTCATTCTTAATTAACAGATAGTTGACGTGTTGTTAGAGTGTGTAATGTCAATTGAGAAAGATTCTTTGATTTCTTTTATTGTAAATTACAAAGTATCAGATTCCATAGAAACGGATTACACTGGTTATCATTCTTAAAACTTATAAAACGAGGAGTTAGTTTAAGAACGCTAGTGGAATGAGTTTGTCTTTTTATTCAGTATTTTTCAGGAGCTAAATCCATCAGTGCAAGGAGGCTTCGATTTAGGGAATCCTGACGATATCATTACCAAAGACATGGATTTCCTAAGACAATTTACTGTTGTTGTGGGATGCAATTTGAATATTGACGTTGCTGCACAAATAAATGACTTTTTGTTTGAGAAAAATATACCTTTTGTTCATGCAAGGTTAGAGTTTCGTACTCCAGTTGAGATATCAGACTAAGCTTATGTGTAAGTTATGACCATATAGCGCAAAAAAAATATCTTAAAATGTAATAATTTAATCAAACTTCGTGGAATTAGGACATGAATTTTATATATTTCGCTGATTTAGGATTGTAGGTGCCGTCATTACAACATTTTCAAAATCATTCTGTTTTCGTTTGGCGAGTAAATTTCAGTTTTGTTTGTATGGAAGCTATAATTGTAACAGTGTTTTAAAATTATGATTACAGGGCATATGGTCTTGTCGGATTTATCCGAATTTCCGTTCAAGAACACACAATCATTGATACACACGAGGAGAATGTACCACCCGACTTAAGGTAACATCAATTTTTCATATTTATGGGCAATATCCCCATATTTATGGCGATATTTGTAGATTTCCGGTTTTATTTTGTTCAAATTTTTTAGATTTAGCTCCTTAGAATTAAATTTATTTAGGGTTAAATTATTTACGTGTGTTTTGTAAAAGATCCCTTCTGGATTGATAAAAATCGACCAGAATAGTCGGTGGATGGGCTAAATTGTGTCCCAAGTCCTCAGGCATGGTTGCAGGTATGGCATCTTCAGGTGGCGCTGATAGTCATTTTATGGTATTCAGGCTCGACTGTCCGTTTCCGGCGTTGTCTGAATTGGTAGATTCGATAGATCTAAACCGGATGCATTATGATGCTCATTCCCACACACCGTATTTAATTTTATTTCTGAAAGCGCTCACATTGTGGCGAGAGAAGTACGGTCAAGATGATTTCCCCGATAACCACGAAAAACGAAAAACATATGAAGCGGTAGGTACTTAGATGTTAGTCTGTTTCAATTTTTAGTCAGCTCTCACTCTATATTCGTCTTTTTTTAAATTTTTTCATCCCGTACCATACTATTATTAGTTCTGGTCACTTTTTTCCGAGACGTTACTTTTCTCCGAAATCGGAAGGAGCAAAATTTTTAAGATGGCTAATTTATTCAGATTTTTATGTCACTACGGATGCCGCACCCGGAAAATGGATCTGTTCGGGAACAAAACTTTGTCGAAGGACACACCGCAATGGTTCGCTCGCTGAAACGAACAACAGTTGGTGTTTATTATAAGATAATATATGAAATCAATAATTTTTGACGAACACTGATTTAAATTATTGAGTGCAGCCCGAAATTTCTTGTTTTTGTTTTCAGATACCATTGGAAGTAAAAGAATTATTGGATCATCCGAAAGCACGACAGGCAAATCTGGAACAGTTTTGGTTGTTGACCGCAGCCCTGCGGCGTTTTGTCATTACCCATAAAGTTCTGCCTGTGCGAGGTAGTTTGCCTGACATGATCAGTGATTCGGAAAGCTATGTTGTTCTAGCAACAAAGTTTCGAGATAAGGCCAAACAGGATGCAAAGGAGGTTTGAGTTGTTATTCGAAGCAACGCTAAGAGTGAAAACTGCATCGATGCAGTGTTGTGAAGTGGTTGGGTCTGGAAACTTCTTATATATATATTTGAGAAAATTAGTGACTGAGTTTTTGAAAGAAGACCTTGCTTTATGCAGTTAAATTTTTTTTTATCAAGTGAGTGAGGACTGTGCAAACAGCTTCAAAAAGGTTTTTTTTTCTTTTTAAAATGGTCGAGGAATTTACAATCGCATTGTACGAAGTCAAGATAAATGTGTCAGAAACACTGGTTATGGCTAAGATATTAATATACTCAGGTTGTCGAACTTACAGGTAATGAGTTATCTTCATGCATTTCTCGCAGAACGAGGTGTATCAACTGATATCATTAAATTCCATGACTGTGAGTTTTTCTGCAAGAAGGCTGCCTTTCTGCGAGTTCAGCACGGAACGACCATTGCGCAGGAAATGAAGTCATCATTGGAGGTTAGATTAAGCTGTAAAACTGCACTTGTGTGTTGGAAGTCTTTATGTGCAACAATGTCACAAGAAATTATATTTCCTTATGCTTATGTGATTGACGCATCATATTATGCGTGACTTTCTTTGCATGGTTAGAAGTCGAACTTATAAGGCAATATTTATGCATACTGCAAAGCATGTGAGTTTGCATGAGGTAATGATTGGTTTTACAAATTTTCAGGAAGTGTTCAATGGTATACGAAATGCTAACTTTGAACCTAATTCCATAACAGGTGTTCCTGAGATATCGCCAGCAGTGTGGTATATTTTATTGAGAGCTATCGATAGGTAAACAAACATCTTTCGTTTATTATTTCTACGTGTGTTTCATATGGTATTTAGGAGTCCATGAACTTTTTTAGCTGTTCATTTTTCTACAAGCCTAATAGGAACCTTCACCAAGTTCACTTTGTTTGTTATGTTGTCCTTCGTTAGTAAACAAGCGTAGTAATTATGTTTAAGGTTTCATTCCGAAAAATCGCGTTTCCCGGGAACAAATGGCGTACCGTGCACTATAGATGCTTATGATCTTAAAGCAAGAGTAGTTGACTTGATCACGGAAGTTGAAGTAAGTTTCTATTAGACACTCTCGATTCATCAAGTGAAATCTTTGTCTTTTCCCGTTCCACCCCATAGGGGACATTCGAGAAATGTTTGTGTGATAGATAAATTTGGTGATTCTTAGATCATTTAGCGTATGGGAACTACGGTAAGTACCATCTAGTGAAAAGTGGTGTATTTAGTGGCACGTTTCAACCATTTCAAATTTTGACTTATGCGAAATTCCAAAATGTTGATTAGGTTACTATTCTCAATAAAAGGATCAGTACGAAGTTGAAATTATATAAATTATAAAAGTTACCCTTATAGTTATAGTACTGATGATTCTTTTTATAGCTTCGCGAGAAAAATTGACATAATTTTCATTTTCGTTTCCCTTCACTAGTAAATTTTTTTCTTTTTCTTTTTTTGTGTACTTCATTACCAAACAGGTCTTTGGTGTTAACAAATGATGCAGACTAATTATCGGATTTAAAACTTATCTCATTTTTAATCTAACCTTAGGTTCTCTATATTTTCCATTCTCTAGTTCTCAGATCTTCGTACCTTTTTACAGGATAGAAGCAAAATATTAGAAAAAATTCCGCAGATAGCAATTGATGAAATGTGTCGTTATGGCGCTTCTGAACTACATGTTATTGCTTCGCTGATTGGTGGTATCACAGCACAAGAAGTGATCAAATTAATTACTCACCAGTACATACCCCTCAATAATACATTTGTTTTTGATGGTCATACGCAGCGTGCCGAAACATATCGACTATGATGTTTTAATTTTAATCTACTGAAGAAATTTGCAAATGAGATTAGGATTATGAATAATTAACCCAATATTCATGGACGCCTGCAGTCAAAAAACCGATATTAGTTCACGTCATTTTTTATTGGACAAAATCTTTCAATTATATGATTAAAAAGATAGTTAATGCGTCCTTTTTAACGCTTTGTCACTTTAAATACGTAACTTTTGAAAACGAAATGTGCATGAGCGCAAAATTTTGGCCACATTTTTTGCATCTGCACTGAATGTAAATTACGATGTTTGATCTTTGATCCCAATGTTTTTCTAGACGTTAATTTTATTGCGACCACCAATGTTATTATTTTTATACCGGTTTAATTTGTATAATTTTGTTTCAATTTATAATAAATTTAAATTTGTTTTGCAGATAGTCAGCGGAGCAGCTCTTTAATCCATTTTATTAAAATCGGAAACATTTTGATTGTTGTGATTGCTGTTGATTATTTTCTTTACAATGTCAGGACTGTTTTTGTCTGTGGACTGCTTTGAGAAAGATCCTGAAATTCGGAAATTCTCAGAAGCCAAATTGCTTTGTAATTTGGCTTTAATATTTAATGATGTAGCAGTGTTTGAGGCGAAACAATTTTCCCTCCTACCAATTTCTTTTCTACATAAAAGTAAGATTGTGCCTACCTTGCCCCTTGTTTTTGCTTTGTTCCTCACCGTAGCTTCCTATACGTTCGGGATACTTGTGACCTGAAATTAGTCACTCCTAATAGAATTGTAATATAAAGATGTCAAGGCATTGGGAAACGTCAAACCTGGTTTCTTATAGAAGTCTGCATCCCGAATTTGTTCAAATGTATTTCCGATCCTGTCATATTGTGCAAAACCTAGAAAAAATCTTTTGTATCGGTCGACTAGTTATCTCTACAATTTTACAGGTACAGAAGCAACGAATGTTAAATTTTTGGACCATCTCTTTTGCAGTGTAATCTTCCTGAAAATGAAGGATAGGAGTCCTGAAAGAGAAATTTCAATAATTAATCAATTACTGTATGGTAAAAATAACTTACAAAAAATGGGCAATTCAAAGAAATTAGGAATGAAGCAAATAATTAGCAAAAGGATTGGGAATTGCATGATGAATAATGAGAAGTAACAACTATTTTTGTGGGCAGTTAAATGCACATAAAAGAATGAATGAAACATTTCACTGAAATTATTCGTCATTCACAATTTAACGATTAAATTGATGTGTTTTTCTTTTTTCAAAGTAACAAATAAAAAAAGGAATGATTGCCATAAAATGATGCATAGTTATTCTTTCAAATTGCAAATAAGACTAATTTTTGATGTGATTCAAATTTTTCAACAAGATTGATCTTTGATGTGATTTAAAATTTTCAACAAGATTGATCTTTGATGTGATTTAAAATTTTCAACAAGATTGATCTTTGATGTGATTCTAATTCAATTTTGACATTAATAATCAATTAAGCAATCAGTTTTTTTCATTAACATCAATCATTTCTACTATATGAGATTGAGTGACGATATGGATGAGAGAAATTTTTTGATTTTTCATTCGTTCGTTAATTGATGCTTGAATAGAGGAATAAATGAATAATTGATAGTATCATTACGAAATATAACTTTTCATTTGTATTCATCTGTTCTTTACTTATTTTGCATTTTGTTCAATTGAAATCTATCATTTTTATAATTTGTTAATTTTTTTATACCTGAAAGTTTATTTCTTTTTTTATACCTTAACATTTGGTAATAAACATTTCAAGCCATTTTTCCAAGATTGCCAAGTTCGTCGGAGTTATATTATTATTTTTATTTATTATTAATTACTGTTATTATTTATTATCATTATTATTATTATTATTATTATTATTATTATTATTATT